GTAGCCCAGAGCCGGTCTTCCTCAGCAAAAAGAGGAGAATTAGCATGGATGTTAGCTCAGGGCTGATCTTCCTCACAAAAAAAAAAAAGTAGCAGGCTGGGTGGGGTAATGACTTCCCCATCACAGGGGGCAAGTAACAGAGGCTGAGAGCAGAAGTGGGGTAGCCAGAGACACTGGAGATTTGTCTTGGAAGGTCTCTAAGCAGATGGGGTGGGGGGAGCAGAGCTGGGGGAGGGTCTGAGTCTCCCCAGACACAATGCTGTGACCAAAATGAGACCATGTGTCCTGATCAACGAGTTGGGACAAACGGTCTCCACCAGTTTGAAGAGACCCAAGGAGAAGGGGCAGGAGGTGGGGACAGGATCCTGTCTCAAGGAGGCTGAAACACAAAAGGGTCTGAAGACCCCAGATGGAAGTGAGGTCAAGGCTGACTGGCTGCCTCAGCTCAGACCCTCACCTGGCCATTCTGGGCACAGTACCCTGCTCCAAATCATCTTTGGGCCGCAACCTGCCTGAAAACCTTTAGCTTTCAAGGTTTTCCCAGACCTGGGAAACTGAGACTGAGACTGCCCAGGACCCAGAGCAGGAGGAGAGGATTCCCTGGACCCAGCTTTATTCTGCCCAAGGCCTCCCTGGGTCCAGATGGTTGGTCATATGGAAAGTTACTGAGCTCTCTAAAAATCTAAGAGTAGAACTCCCACAGGGCCTCATCTCCATTACCACACCCTTCCAAGCCCCTCACACAGGGAGCCTGGGACCAAGCATCACACAGACCTGGGTTCAAGGCCCACCACACAAAGACTGTGTGACCTCAGGCAACCTGCTTCACCTCTCTGACCCTCCACTCCTTTGTGAAATGGGGAAAAGAATCTCCACCTAGCTGGTGGTTGTGAGGACAACACAAGATCATATATGGGAAGTACCCACCACTGTGCCAGGGCATTGCGTGAAAATAAGCCCCCACCTCCAGCCTCTGGCTAAACCACATTTCTTCCACTCTCCATCCTGGCAAACTTGACTCAAAACAGCACTTCCTCCAGGAAGGATGCCTTGATAATTCTCCTGACTTGGGTCCCCCCACGATTTTTCTCCATTCTAGACTGTGCCCTCAAACACTCAACCCTCCCCTGGGCCTCCCCGATGTCCCCCACCCTTTCCCCCATTGTGGGACCCAGGGGAAGCCACACTCACCATTCTTGTCTGCTCTGCGGAAAACCTAGAGGACAAAGGGGCATGGACGGGAGCTGTGAGTGGGGTCTGGGCGGTAAGAGGCCCCACCCAACACATCAGGGCCCCAGCTGGCCAGCCTGCCCCCTACCTTGCCTTTCCTCCTGCCCAGCCTGGTCCCAACCCCCTGCTCAGCTCGGCCCTGCAGGAGCTTTCCCAACTAAAGGGGCACAGGAAGTGCACACAGCAGGTCCCACCGCTTGTTCACTTCTCCTGTGGGGCCTGGCCTCGTGGGGGTGCTCCAAGCCAGCTTCCTGCACCCCCGTCTCCCACACCCAGTGTCCATTCTGAGTTCTGTCTGATGCATCAGCCCTTGGCACAGTCTCAGCTTGAGGAAGGTAGGGAGATGGGCCAAGATGCGGCCTAAGGATCCTGGGCACCTGTCCCAGACCTGAACCTCAACTCTGCTGTGCAGCCATGCTCCTTCCCAGACTCCGCTGGATCTGGCCTGTTTCCGTGTGCATGCTGAAGACCCTGACATGCAGGCAGTGGCTAGTCCTTTCTTCATGGGCACCTCAGCTTTCCCACCAGCAAGTGGGGAGCAGCCTGGGGTTAACCCTTCCAGAGCTGGGGCTTCCTATGAGGCCCCAGCAGTGACTCAGTGTGAGAGCCTTGAGCACACCCGTGTGTATGTGTGCATGGGTGTCTGCGTGCAAGGGGGAGTGAGGGTGGTGGAAAGCAAGGGTGGACAGATTGTATTTATGGAGAAGCAGAGATGAAGGACAACAGAAGCAGACAGACAGAGAAGAGCAGAGTCAAGGGACCAGAGACTCCCAGGTCACCCAAAGCAGTGGAGTAAAGGGGAGAACAGCAGATCTGGCAAGGAGGGGCAGGCCAAAGCCTGGACAGAGAACCCCTATCAGCTCGAGGTCCTGAATGCCACTCCCCTCCAGCTGTTTTCTCGGGGTCACTGAGGCTCAGGGACGAATCTAACCCCTAGCCAGAAGCTGACTCAGAAAGGTCAGCCACCTGCTCAGGGTCACACAGCAGCCCAGCGTGGCCACCCTGGGGCAGATGGAGATACTGGGGGGAGGGGTTCTAAGCTGGGAATGAGGACACCTGGGGCCACACCCTAGGGGGCCCCTGCCTCCCTGTGTGACCTCAGACATATCCCTAACCCCTCAGGCCTTGGTTTTTCCATCTGGGAAGTGCGAGGGTCAGGTCCCTTCCAGCCAGGAGGTCAAGGTGCTGAGTCACTGGGGGCAGTGGGAAGGGGGCAGGAGTACCGTCCTTCCCACTGGCAGGGACCTCTGGGAGTGCTAGCATGAAAGGGCCAGCACCGGGCTGGGTGTGGAGTGCGAGGCGGGCAAGGGGCTCAGGGCAGTGACTGAGGCCGGGCCTGGCTGCTCCACACTAGTGCCCATGGGGGCTACAGGGCCACCTGCCACCCACGGGAGGGGTGTCCAGACCACACACGATGACTGTGGGCAGCTCTGACCAACTGTGGAGCCCCACAGCCCCTGGGTCAGATCTAAGAGACTGAGGTCGCACGGGGTCAGGAGTCGGGGGACTGCTTATGCTCCCAGGCTTCCCTGCCCGGGTCCGCCCACCTGGGGCTGCCACAGAGGGGCGCGGAGACCGCTCCTGTGACAAGTGCTCCTGTGACAAGTGTTGACAGTCCCCACCTCACCAGACACACAGATGGGGTGGGATGGGGGTGGGGGACAGCAGAGGGTGACACTGAACCAGAGACAAGCAGAGATAAGGAGACATGAAGGCAGCGAGACAAAGATAGGGGAGACACAAGAAAACCGAGACAGCGGGGTCAATGAGGGCGAGACAGAGACCCAGAGCCCCAAAGAGACCTGGAGGGAGAGACAGTGACACGGAGACAGGGAAAAACAGTGAGAGGGACGCAGAGATGGGGCCAAGGAGAGACAGTCAGAAACAGAACCAGCGAGACACAGGGAGAGAGAAGACAGTCTGGAGAGCAGCGACACCCCCGGGGCGGGCCAGCCCCTGCCCGCTCCCCACTCACGTCCTGGAAGAGCGCGTGTCCGGCGGGCG